CTTCAACTCGTATACGACCGCAGACACAATCGCACTAAACTCAAACCATAAAGATATAGAGAGCCGTTTTCAACCCCGGACTGTATTTTGTAGTGTCGTCAGTGCATTGTATCGATGCTCGACGTGTCGAAGTGACGTAGGGAGAGCATCTTGACGTGAGACCCCAACAAGGGCACTACGACGACACTGCAAGCCTCTTCTTCCTGAGCTCCACCAACGCGCTCCTCCCCACAACCACAGTCACCAGGCCTGCACCCAACAACAGCGGCAGCATCTGGAACAGCGTCAAGCCGATCCAGTACCTCACCGCTAGAGCCTCCAATCCCGCCAACGCTGCAAACAGCACCAGCGCCTTGGAAGATGGCGACTGGATCTCAGGCTTGATGACACCGAGCGCGGCGATCAGGAAGAGCCACGGGACAGCCGCTGTGATGAGCGAGGCGAGACCGCTGATCTTGGTGCTGGGCATGGTTTCGGTGGGAGGGATACCGAACGTGTGCTTGTGCTCGGGAAGCCCGTGGAAGCCCTGTTCGATCTCAGCCTTTTCGCGAGCAGAGAGTGAGGAGGATGCCGAGGCGATGGCGGCGTCCACCAAGCTCGACGGAGGGATGAGCGAGAGGAGAGGGAGCGAGAGAGGCGAGTAGGCGCCTTCGGGAGCCGAGTTGGTGGGAAAGTTGGCAATCAGGATGGAGAGTGTCAACGGGGATGGGGCTCGAAGAAGCGACGCAGGGATCCTGTCCATTCTCTGTTCAGAGCCATCGAGCAGAACCAAGAATGTGTCAGTCATGATCGATACGAAGGAAAGGGCGTGTCGCTGTATCAAATGCGCCCAAAACTTACCAAGTTCCAAGTGACTTTTCCAGTGCTCGGTTTGACTGCGACCGGCCAAGCATGTGATGCACTTTCGTCCTGCTCCGATGCGAGTACGATGAAAGCCTGATGAGGCACATGCTCCTTTCCGAGCGCCGATCCATCCTTGGCAACCTTCTTGCCCGTCGCTTCTTCCACGCTCAAGCTGAAACCAAGTCGGATCACATCATCGTTCTCCAGCTGTGTCGGAGCGGCAAGGCTGAAGGGCGATGTGTTCTTCGAGTAGTCCGCATGTGTCGAGAATTCCTTCGAGAGACGAGATGAGCCGTCGACGGTGGAGAGAGCGAGCTTGCCCGAGTTGAGAACGTATCTGAGCTTGGGTTCCGAGAGTGCCGCGTTAGCGCGGAGCACGACCAGCAACGAGAGGAAGACGGCCGCAAAGGCGACAGCTATTGAGCGCATGTTGTTCGTGCGGATCTGAGGCCGTTCGGGAAGAAGACAGCTGGTGTGGAGATGGATAGGAAGCTGTCTGTAGATCCAGAAGGTCGTCGTTGATTTCGGCGATGGCGCGTGCGCTCAGCGCAACAGCAGCAGCAGCAGAAGCAGCAACACTCGCCGACTGCCAGCCTGGAAGGCAAACAAACGCCAATTCTTCTTGCCGGCATCGCCTATTTTCAGATCGGTCACAATTTCAGCCCATTGTCCCGATTTTGACATTTACCCGATTCTGACGGAAAGCTGCTGCGGCAAGTTCGAATTTTCCGATTGGCTGGCTGCTCGAGTGCTCGAGTGAGAGCGCGTCTGCTGTTGCAAATTTCGGCCCCGAGCTGTTTGCCTTGGAATTTTGTTCTTCCGCCATCCGATCCAGCATCCTTTCTTCTCCTCCTCATACTACTCTTTCTAGTATACCTTGGTCACCGCTGGTTTTCATCTTTTTCACTCTCAACAAACCCCTCTTCTACACTTTTACAAGATGAGCTACGTCGCCAAGGACAAGGATGTCGATGCTTCGGCCCCTGCTGCCAAGATCCACAAGATCCGCATCACCCTCACTTCGCGCAACGTCAAGAACCTCGAGAAGGGTAAGCTTTCACCATCTCAAACGACATCCCATTTTCATTCTCACTGACATCGATACCACCTTTTCAATTCCGTTTGACTCCTACTTCAGTCTGCTCTGACCTTGTGAACCGATCCAAGGACAAGCAGCTCCGCGTCAAGGGCCCCGTTCGTCTCCCTACCAAGGTGCTTACCCACACCACCCGCAAGTCGCCCTGTGGTGAGGGTTCCAAGACCTGGGACCACTTCGAGATGCGCATCCACAAGCGTCTCATCGACCTTCACTCGCCCTCCGAGATCGTCAAGCAGATCACCTCGATCTCGCTCGAGCCCGGTGTCGAGGTCGAGGTCACCATCCTCTCCTCCAACTAAAGTTCTTCCTTTCAGTTGACACGACTGAAGGATCGACTTTGAAGAGGTTGTGGATGAGACGTGACGCTTCGTCTACATTTGTTTCAAGCGTTGTTGTGCCAAAAGGGTGCGTTCAGGTGGCAGGATGGCAGATACGTCTTTACTGTGCGCAGTCTGCCGTTCCGTCATTGTTCAACGATCGCCCCACTGATCCCCTGTCATCATGGGTATTACGAAATATCACGACACTCCTTTCATCTCTCTTCAACTTTGCAACGTCCGCGTGTTGTGTGTATGTGTGCCATTGAGTAGAAGCTCTGAGATTATGCGTGTTGTCTGATTACTACTGTCGACAAACTGAACGAACAGCGACTACTTTTTCTTCTTCTTGTTCTTCTTCTTCTTCTTGGCCGCACCGCTACTGGGTGTTGCTTCAGGATTCGGCGTTGTAGGCGTGGCTGGCGTATTGGTTCCACTGCCGTCTCCGTCGCCGTTATCTTCGGCATCGTCGGCATCGTCTTCGCCTTCGTCTGCAGGGTCTTCCCCAACGGCTTCGGTGGCATCGGGTGAGGAGGTAGACTGCTCCTTGTCCTCTGTCGTCGCCGACACCGCGGCATTCGCTGTTGAATCACCGTGTTCCTCCCCATTCTTCGTCGTCGTCGTCTCATCGGATGTGTTGGCAGGTACAGCCACAGCAGTAGGTGCAGCGTCGATGCTTTCCTCAGCAGCCGCGACCTCCTCCTTTGGCTTCTGTGAAGCGGCAGCGGCTGCAGCAGCTCGATCGCGTTCCTCTTTGCGTAGACGCAGCTTTTCGGCCAAACTGAACTTCTTTGGCGCTGCAGCAGAAGGTGCGGGTTGGGCGTTCTTATCGAGCGCTTCTTCCTTTGCTTCGCTCGTCCGGGAACGGTCAGTGTCGTCGTTTGCTGGCTGCTGTGTCGGCTCTGCTGCGTTTCCGATCCCGACGGCGGATACTTTAAATCCAGCCTTGGTGGATGGAACGTCATCAGCAGCGTTCGCCACGGCGACATCTTCGGCTGCGACATGGGCTGCTTCTTCAGATTCTTGCTGCGCTTTTGCTGCCTCCTCGGCTTTTGACTTGGCCTCTTCTTCGGTTTTGACTTTGGCCTCCTCTTCAGCTTTGAGTCGCGCCGCTTCCTCGGCCTTTGCAGCTTCCGCTGCAGCCGCAGCCGCAGCCTCAGCTTTAGCTTGTGCTTTGAGTTTTGTTTGCTCTTCCTCTTCCGCTTTGAGCTTTGCTTCCTCTTCGGCTTTGAGCCGCGCTTGCTCTTCAGCTTTGAGTCTCGCTTCCTCCTCAGCTTTGAGCCTCGCTTCCTCCTCGGCCTTCAGCTGTGCTTCCTCTTCAGCTTTCAATCTGGCTGCTTCTCTTGCTTCGGCTTCATCTTTTGCCTTTGCTTCGGCCTCGGCTTTGAGTCTCGCCTCTTCTTCAGCTTTGACGCGAGCTTCTTCCTCTGCCTTGAGTCGGGCTTCTTCTTGAAGTCGTGCTTCCTCCTTGAGGCGCGCCTCTTCGGCTTTCAGCCTTGCTTCTTCTTCAGCTTTCAGCCTTGCTTCTTCTTCAGCTTTCAGCCTTGCTTCTTCTTCAGCTTTCAGTCTGGCTTCCTCTTCCGACTTTAATCTTGCCTCTTCCTCCGCTTTCCTTCTTTGTTCCTCCTCCTCCTTCTCACGTTTGGCCCGTTCCTCAGCCTCGACACGAGCCCTCTCCTCAGCTTCGGCCTTCTCTCGAGCCAGATCCTCATTTACCTTCTTTTTCTTGCTCGCCGCATTTTGCCGTCTTTGCTTGTTCGATTCGACAATCCTTGTTCGTGTCTCGCCGATCCAATCCTTCGCTTCCGCCCACGCAATATCTACCTCACCCTTGGCATCCACTTCGGTATCGTAGATCTGCGAGGCGATAACGTTTCGCGTCCAATCGACGACAGAATGTTGCCACATCTCGAGCACTTTGATCAAGATGACGCTCTCGCGATCGCGAACCAGCTGCGTCTGCAACTCTCGTTTCTCTTCCTGATCGAGATGTTGCAAAAGACTTTGCGCTTCCCCATCGCTCAACAGTCTTTCCGCCGCTACCGTATCAGCATCCACACGGGTGATAGCCTCGGAAACCTCGGACAGCAAACGTCGCGAAAGACGCGCAAAGTGTTGATCGAATAGCCGCAGGAGAAGCGGTGCGAGAGCAGTCGGTGCAAACACCTGCAATGCGTTGATCCACTCCAGTAGACGGTTGAGCAGTTTCCCGAGTGGAGGGTAGTCGACGAGCTCGATGTTTGGCCGTGAAAAGTCGTCGTACGACGTGGGATCGGTGGTAGATACTTGGAAGAGGTTCTCCAATGCGGAGGCGGGCAGTTGAGATGATAAAAGCCATTGAGAAGGCAAAGTTGCGTCGCTGGTTTTCAAGTTCTGGTCGAACAGCGCGTGGGATGGTGAGAAGGCTTGATCGAGCGACCGGGTGAGAGCGTCGAGCCAGGTAGCTTCGATGGTGCTCAGTGACTGTATCGATGAGTCTGAAGAGGCGTTGCTAGACGGGGCACAGAGGAGCGTTCCAAAATCGAATCCGAATCGTGTCAAGGATGCCGAAGCGTAGCTGAGCTGGGTATGGACGTTGGCGAACAGTTCGGCGAGCGTCTCGAGACTCGAGAGGGAGGCAGAGTGTCCAGAAGACGATGCTTGAGTCGCTTGTACGGAAGCAACGAGCTGGGTGGAGATGGTATCGCGCAGTCGCTCGAAGCCCGATGTGGCAAAGGAGGAGATAAGATAGGCGGGCGTGACCATGTCTGATGTCGTTGCATCATCAGCGTGATGTGGAGTGCCTTGTGGATCGGTGTCGACAAAGAGCGCAAAGGCCATACTCAAGGTGTCGGTCATCTCTTCGCGCCATAGGTCGATGTATCTTCGCAGGAACGTCTGGCTGGACGAGGAGGAAGAAGAGCCCATGGCATCCAGCGCTGAGTGGAAAGAGCGGATTCTTGACTTGAGGAAAGCGAGGCACAGCTGAGCCTCGCTCATGCTCAGATGGGGAACACTGTGGTGCTGTTGGAGCGTGTGCCAATCTGCCAGGCGCGGAAGCGCCCTCTCGAAATGGGTAAGTCTGCGAAGGACGCCAGTGGATTTGAGAGCAGCAGGTAGCTTGAGGCCAGGCTTGGAGAAGCTCGAGATGAGATCGGTCTTCATGACGGCGAGATGTGATAAAGTCTCGATGAGCAAAGAAAGGTAGGTGTTGCGCTGTTCGCTTGGCTTGTTGACGTTGGACAAAGAATGGCCATCTGCTGAACCGATACTGCCATGTGAGGCAGATGACTCAAGCAGCCCAGCGAGATACTCTGCAAGCTGGATTGCATCCGAGTGATGACCCGACCTTACGCAGGTGAGCACGAGAGGAGGTATTTCGAGAAGGTCGGAGAGGTGACCGCGCTCGTACTGATCGACGACATTCTGGACACGCTCTCGCTCGGCCAGCACTGGTTTGCTAGCAGATGCGAACGCTTCGGTGGCCTCTTGTAATTGGGGCAAGGTATGGACTATGAGATCCTCGAGGCGATTTGCAAACGTGGTGAGAGAAGGTGCAAACTGCTGCTCAGCTTGGTGTATGTGGATGAAGGCATCGGTCTGGGAGATGCAAAGTTGCGAAAGCTGCCGATGAAGGGCTTCGGATTTTGTTTGAAGCTGCTGCGGCTGAGTTCGAAGGTCGACCAGGCTGAAGTTGGAAAGCGAGCGGATGTAAGAGGCGACCTGCTTGTCTGAAAGCGCTTCCGCCGACAAGGATGATTCGGCGGTGGGAGCGGCATTGTGAATAAGCGCGGTCAGCGAATTCGGCGCTGCCGAGTCTGACGCTGAAGCGCTCGCTGTATTCGGCATGATGCCGATACTCCGTTGTAGGATCGAGTGAGCGAACGGTGATGTGGAATGAGCACTTGGCAAGGAAGCCTGTGCACGGTCGCGACCGAAGAAAGTGTTGGCCCGACTTCCGAACCTCTCTTGAACCTGAGACCCTTTCTCGCAACGACGCACGCGCGCCTCAAGCCGGCCGGTAACTGGTCAGCTTGGTTTTTGTCTATCCGGCAAAGGTGCGTTTTGATTTGACCGGTGCTTGCTTTGCATTGCATGCCTGACTGACGGTCTGAGCAGACAGGGTCGACTGACATGCATCAGGAGCCAATGAGACCTCCGGCGAACCAAACACACAGAGCAGCAGATAAGCCTGCATGATGCCTGCCATTCCTGTAACCAATCGGATACGGAACCAGCCATCTAGTCGACGACTGTGTTGCTGTTCGGTGTGCACTGGTTGGGCAGGCAGCTCATCTTGCGTCCATTCACACTCGCATAGTCGCATCCCATCACAACTTGCTCTTCTCTTCCTTCGTATCCGAGGCGAGCGTTGTCGGCGCCACCCTTTGGTTTCGGAGGACGCCAGCTGACTTTTATGTCTACAAGAGGTGTACGTCATCGTCACAGTGTGGGTCTACCGAACAAGGCAACGTATTGACGTTGATGTGAGCTGAGGAGGACCATAGACAGGACTGCAAGAGAGAGCTAGCTCCGCTCGCGGGTTCTTCCAAGCGCGGGGTAAACGTCGAGGTCGAGCCTCGGGAACAAGCAGGCCAGCCAGCCAGCGTTCGTTCGAGTCATTTTCGGGCAATTTGGTTGGAATCGCAGCCAGCACTAACGATGCTCACTGTTTTGTTCTTGATGTGGGGCAGCTGAAGCGAGGGCGAAAGCGGGCACTTTCGGTTAGATCTGATATTCATTTGTACTGGCTATATTCCCAATTCGAATACAAGATGGCTTGCCAATTAAATATCAATTCGATTCTGGCTAAAACACGCAGTGGCAAAGCGCAAGGGAAAAAGCACAAGCGGCTGAAAGGCGAGGTAAGGCGAGGCGAGGTCGAGGCCGGGATGAATATTTTCAAGGGTCAAACACCGCGAGAGAAGAAGAATCAGTCAAGTCAGTCATTTGACCGAGTCACCGCTTTGGCAGCTCGAGCGAGTTATTCCTGCAACGCCGCTCATTGGCGCTTGAATGCCTATAACCTCGCGCCCTTCAACAGCTCCTTTCACTTCTCTACTCTCTCTCCACCATCCCAAGCACCTACATCGACGCCGCTGGACTCTTCTCCCTTTGGATCACTCACAATTCACACTCCACCGTGGCCACCACATCTCAAGCATCTCGGACGTCTAGGACCGCACCACCACACATTAGAAAAGGCACCTGCTCCACGCAACCGCCACCCTCCAAAACAGGCTCATCATGACGAGCTTTGCCGTGCAGTTTGCACGCCAGCAGAGGCACGCCTTCCAGGCCGCTTCCAAGCTTTCGGCCGCTTCCACATCCAGCATCGCCGCCACCGCCGCTGCTTCCACATCCTACGCTTCCACCACACCAAGTGCCGCGAGAGCCTTCTCCACCGCGAGGAACAACCTTCCCCGCTCCGCACAGCTCGCAAGATCTCAGCGCTCCCAGATTGCCCTCTCAAGACACATCTCCACAAATCAGCCCAAGGAGCAGGCCGCTGCTGCCGCTCAGACCTCGGCCAGCGTCCGTCCCGAACCCTCACCTGCCTTCCAGCAGTCTCCTCAAAATATCGCCCCTCTCGCTTCGAGATATGACGCCAACGCTCTCGATGAGTCGTTTGTCGGTCTCTCGGGTGGTGCCATCTTCCATGAGATGATGCTCAGGCACGATGTCAAGCATGTCTTTGGCTACCCAGGTGGTGCTATCCTCCCCGTCTTCGACGCCATCTACAACTCAAAGCACTTTGACTTTGTGCTTCCACGAAGGGAGGACGGTGCCGGTCACATGGCCGAAGGATACGCTCGTGTCACCGGCAAGCCCGGTGTCATCCTCGTCACCTCTGGTCCTGGTGCCACCAACGTCATCACACCCATGCAGGACGCCATGAGCGACGGCACTCCCCTCGTCGTCTTCTGTGGTCAGGTGGCAACCTCTGCTATCGGCTCGGATGCCTTCCAGGAGGCTGACGTCGTCGGCATCTCGCGATCCTGCACAAAATGGAACGTCATGGTCAAGGACATTGCCGAGCTCCCTCGCCGCATCAACGAAGCCTTCAAGATCGCCACTTCGGGTCGCCCCGGTCCCGTCCTGGTCGACCTGCCCAAGGACGTCACTGCCGGTATCCTCCGCCAGGCCATCCCTTACAGCCAGACGCAGCCCAACATGATCACCAACCTGCCGAGCCGACAGGTTGCACGCAACCGTCGCGGCGCCACCTTCCAGCAGAGCACCAACCTGCGCTCCTCGGAACAGGACATCCTCACCTCCGAGCTGCACGAAGCTGCGCGCCTCATCGGCATCGCAAAGCGACCCGTCATCTACGCCGGTCAGGGTATCCTCTCGTCTCCCGAAGGTCCCAAGCTGCTTGCCAAGCTCGCCAAGGAGCACAACATCCCCGTCACCACCACGCTCCAGGGTCTCGGTGCGTTCGACGAGCTGGATCCTCTCAGTCTGCACATGCTCGGCATGCACGGTTCGGCGTACGCCAACCTGGCCATGCAGGACGCCGATCTTATCATCGCCCTCGGTGCTCGATTCGACGACCGTGTCACGGGCAAGATCGACAAGTTCGCTCCGCACGCCCGAGCAGCTGCCATGGAGAACCGTGGCGGTATCATCCACTTTGAGGTGATGCCAAAGAACATCAACAAGGTGGTGCAGGCCACCTGCGCCATCGAAGGCGATGTTGTCACCAACCTCGGCAAGCTCATGCCGTTCCTCGAGAGCAACGCGCCCGACAGGAGCGAGTGGCACGAGCTCATCAAGTCGTGGAAGGAGGCCTACCCCTTCACCTACGAGCCGTCCAAGCAGGGCGAGCTCATGAAGCCCCAAGAGGTCATTGAGGCTCTCGACGCTGCCGTTGCCGACCAGAAGGACAATGTCATCATCTCCACCGGTGTCGGACAGCACCAGATGTGGGCTGCTCAGCACTACCGCTGGCGCCACCCTCGCACCTGGGTATCCTCCGGTGGTCTCGGAACCATGGGATTCGGTCTCCCCTCTGCCATCGGTGCTAAAGTCGCCGCACCTGAAAAGATCGTCGTCGACATTGACGGCGACGCCTCGTTCTCCATGACCGCCATGGAGCTCGCCACCGCGGCACAGTACAACATCGGCACCAAGGTGCTGGTGCTCAACAACGAGTTCCAGGGAATGGTGGTGCAGTGGCAAGATCTCTTCTACGAGAAGCGCTACTCTCACACCGAGATGCACAACCCTGACTTTGTCAAGCTTGCCGAGAGCATGGGCGTCAAGGCGATCCGTTGCGACAACATCGAAGATCTGCCGGCCAAGATGAAGGAGTTCATCGAGTACGATAACAACAAGCCGGTGCTGTTCGAGGCGAGGATCACCAAGAACGAGCATGTCTATCCCTTCTGCCCGGCCAACGCGGGGCTGCATGAGCTCATTGTTCACCCTAGTCTCAAGCCTGTTCCTAAGAGAGGGTAGTTGTAGTTATTTATGATGGTGTTGGTTTTTGTTATTGTTATACGAAGTGTTTCTGCATTCACGTTTGATTGTGTGTGAATGTTTGCGAGAACAGTGATGCGTGATGGGTAGTGAGAGCTGGTGTGAGGTTGCAAGCGCGGAAATCGGCGATTTGAGAAAGCAACACACAGACCAAATTTACCACGCATTCGGTCAAAGCAAAGGCGCATTGCCTTGTCTCTTTCCATCTACCCCACATCATCCATCCTACAACATCGCTCGAGGTTTTCAGCGCAACGACCGCGTCAAACACGATTCAGCGGGACAAGGGGCGACTGAAAGACAAGCGTAGCACAGCAGAGAACTCGAGGGAGCGCGGCAAGCCTCAGTGAAAGAGGTGCTGAACTTCTGTCAAGGGACAGGTCTCCCCTGGATTGTAGCTCGAGTGGTTCGGGAAGGATGCCACTTTGAACGCTCCCAGCATCGTCAAGAAACGACACTGTCGGCGCTTTCCAGCGAGGTCCACGTCAGACATCGCATTCTGCTACATCTATTCGGCTCCTCCACCATCCGCTCTCTCTCGCAATCATGTCTGCAGCAGCGTCCTCTTCCTCCTCCCCCTCTGGCTCACGGGCGTCACTCGACGACTCTGCCACTACCATCGCCACCGCATCAAATGGCAAAACTTCCTCCCCGCACTCTGACGATGAAGACACCTGGACCCCCATCTCGACCATGTCCTCCGACGAGATCCGCACCGAACTCGCCCGCGTTCGGGAAGAACGCGACACCTTCGAATCGCAATACCGCTCGCTCCTTTCCAAACTCACCACCATGCGTGCCACACTAGGCGATCGATTACGACAAGACGCGGAGGAGCTGGATCGTCGGGAAGGGCAGATCGAGGTGCTCACTGCCAAAGTTTCCGAGTTGGAATCGAGTTGCAGTACGTTGCGCGAGGAACTGGTTGCGTCACATTCCGAGACGGATCGGTTGTCAACGGAAGTCGACACGTTGCGGAAAGGTTTAGCTGCTAAAGAAGAAGAATTGAGCAAGTCAGAAGGCAAGAATGGAGGGACAGTGGGGAGGCTGGAGAGGGAGAGGGAGCTGCACGAGTTGGTGGAGAGGATCAAACTCGATTCGAGCAACTGGCAGACCAGTGCGCTGGAAGAAACCGCCAAACGTCAATCCCTCGAGACGCAGCTGCAATCGCTTTCGCAGGAACTCGAGCTGGCACGGTCGTCCGAACAGCACCACCGTGCTGTCGCCGAACGCGAATCCTCGTCCGCAGCGAACCTGTCTCGTGTCTTGGCAGAGTTTCAATCCACCCAAGACGCAGAACTCTCCCGCACGCTGCTCGACAGTCAAACGCAGATATCCACCCTCACTTCTTCCCTCGAAGAGTACCGTGTACGTGCGGAAACCGCCGAATCTCAACTCACGTCTTCGGCTTCGCTCGCATCGCAGGCCGAAACACTACAGTCCCAAGTCCGGGAGAAGAACCTTCTGATCGGAAAACTGCGGCACGAAGCGGTGATCCTCAACGAACACCTCACCGAAGCACTGCGTAGGCTCCGAAACGATCAGAGCGATACTTCGGTGGATCGGCGGTTGGTGACGAATTTGCTGTTGAAGTTTTTGGATACACCGCGGACGGATGGGAAGCGGTGGGAGATGCTGAGTTTGATAGGCGGGGTGTTGGGTTGGGGTGAGGAGGAGAGGGAGATGGCGGGGTTGCAGAGAGGCACGGCGGCGGGGGGAGGAGGGGGGAGG